ATACAAAGTATGAAGTTGTATAAAAACACTCAACAGAACATAATCATGTTCCAGATAAAATTTTAGATAAATGCAAAACAAGTAGTCAGTAAAATATAAGATCAAGCAGCTTCAACAGAAGTGACACAAACTGTAGCTACGATATCTACCCATTTATGTACAGTACTAACTGTCACCTGTGATTTGAATGAAGCAAATATTAATCTATTCATTTGATTTAATTTATTCCTATGAATATTCTTATTTTCTACAGATACTTTTGAAACTGACTCCACACAAATGTTACAACGAGCTGTAACAAGTGTTCATGTTTGTTGGCATAGGTGTTTCACACTTTCAATGCAAGATATACTACGTGCTAATGAAGTAAGCTAAAAATTCTTCTGCTTTATAGTATTAAATTTGATTTATAACACGAGAATATAAATCATTTTTGCGTTGAAATGCACTTTTATTAAAACTTTCTTATTAACCATCTGTTGTGAATATACCTTATTTATTGGAATAGTGAGTCAATATTTAAATAACACTAGACTTTCATCTAACGCATTACACTTTCGAATTCTATTCGAACTAGTTCACTTTAGGCAACTGGGTAGTATTACTAACTTTCAGACAAATATTGCAGTTTAAATTTGAACTCATAAATATGTAATCGGTAGATGAGTTACGTCATTAATTCTTATTTAAAGGTAATATTCAGAAATGAATGGATACCAGTTAAAGAACTAGCTTCAAAAAGCGTCCTCATTATTGTACTGAGAAGATATAATTAATTGAGTTTGACCATCTACCGCTGATATCACTGAACGATCGTTACACTGCAGAGTGAATTGGTTAAAGTCGCAATTGGGAATCCACAGGAACTCACTAACGACATTGAATATGACACCTAAATATTATCATAAGTCAACTAATGTTGGATAATTTGAATTAATAAATTCAGCGCCAATGATCTAAATGATAGCAACGTGTTCACCACGAAATATGAAGACTCGATTCCAGTCATTAACGTGGTTATAGACATCGATATTACTGTTAAAGAATACCACTGATACCGTTACTATCTCTACTATTCCGAGATTTGGCCTGACAATTTCATCCCTGTGCTAAATTGAGCCGTTGCCTGTCTATTTTATCTATGTCCTCGACATACATCCTTAGAATTGAGGCAAAATACTTTGAAGTTAGCTTACTTAACAGAGATTCAAATCTATTGAGATTTTACTTTCTCATTGGTCTTCAAGATTTAAATGGATACCTATGATGAATGTTTCAAGGAAAAATAGTTTACACCGTTTCATAGAGACATTTTTCCTCACATTAATCTTTATATCATTTACCAGACTAAGGACAAACGAGACTAATGTTTTTTTTGTCAAAAGGCATCGCGATCATTAGTTAAATAACGTATCGGCCTCTGCAACAGACAGAGCAGTTTAGTGTCGATGGCTAAACGGCATGATATTGGTTAACATTATTGTCAGTTTCAACACCAATATTCCAGCGTTAAGGTTTATGACCACAGCATTAGGTAAAGTGGCGTCAGCTACCCTACGATAGTGGGTGCACCCTGATGATGAATACCAACCGACAAACAATCTAAACCTCACCTCCTGACCTACGGTTCCCAACTATCTAAAGTTATTTTTTCCCGTAAATTTGAAGTATCTATCTTATACACGAAGTAGTCGCACACTCGTTTACTGATGAACAGATTCTAGCAGGAAGAATTATAATTCGTCTAAACATAAACCCGAAATTCAGTGAAGGAATGTGTTATCAACGAATCTACTATCAAGATGTACAACCGGACATATGTATATGGAATTGAAGGATCAATTACGCGAGGAATTATGAATAATCATGATGTAATAGATTATCTGTAAATGCAATTGTACGGGTTGCTAACAAATTCATTGGGATGGGTGAATTGTCTATTTTACAGCACAAAATGTTTACTTCACTGTGCTTAAAGAGCAGGAATGCGTGTTATTAAAATGCGATACACCAAATCTAAGCCGAAATCCTACACATGCTATCCATGAGGAACGATCGATAACTTGAATATAAAGAATCGTGAGAAACATTCCAGCCTAGTACTAGTTAAGTAATTTAATTGATCTTGAGGTTTATGTTTAAACAGTTTTACGAGAATATGGGAAGTAAATTTGCTCATTCGGCTGCCCATAAATTATTAAGTTAAACAATTATTACTCTTCATTTTAGTACCAAACTAGTGGATATCTATTGAGAAAATTTAAGAACAGCAATGGTTGGCAACGACTCTGGGTGGTTTTTACTCAATTATGCCTTTTCTTTTATAAAAGTTATCGTGATGAATGTCCATTGGCTAGTCTACCACTGCTGGGTTATACCATAAGTAGACCTGGACCTGAAGATCAAATTCGACGAGATAATGTGCTCAAAATGCAATTCAAAAATCACGTGTACTTTTTCCGCGGAGAAACACGCCATTCATTCGAAAGGTAAGCTTAATTCGAACATCACAAATTACTTGATTACTGAGATAGGAAACGTCCTGCACTTTGTAATACCATATCTTACGTATTAGATATGTTTACTATTGGGAATAAAGGTGTGGAGACGGTTAAATTTAGCCTTCAACTTCTTAAATAAACTTCCTCCGTTTGCATGACACATTGATGGTTGTTCTTAAGATACACCACTGACTATACCACGTTGTTCTCACAGAACCAGCCGCTACACTGAAATACCGCGCCTAGCAGTTATCAGGTAAACGTCCGAATCTAACCTGTATACTTATATTTTGTATATTATTAACTGTCTCTACACATTAATATCCAATAAACGCTGCTACTACTTTTGGTCTGCCCCAGTTATTTAGTGAACCAGTTTTCGTTTTGTTTAATGTTATTGTTTTGGAGAAAGGGAATCCCTTTACAAGCATTATTGGTTCTCATGTTACCTGTAGGTGAAGACGTTACACATATACGCGGATAATAATAGTAATAATAAGTATATCGACGTATATGATGGTACAACAGTATGATAAGACAAAACGAAAACACTGATTCACTAAATAACTGGGGCAGACCAAAACTGTAAATAACAAAAGTAGAAGTAGAGTTATTGGCTAGTTATGTCTAGAATCAGTTAGTGATATACGGAATATCAGTTCGAACGTCACTTGACAAGTGTTAGGTGCGGCATGTTCGACCAGTCACTAAATTCACAACTATAACGCGTAATCAATAACTCCAAAATATAGCATATAATTCAAATATATTATAAGTAATTCGGTGATGAAAAAAGCGTGATCTGTAAATGTTTACAATAATTATATAAATGATTTGTCAATATGACCGCTGATTCTATGAGAATAAAGTTTGGTATAGCGGTGTATATTGAAAACAGCAATCAGTGTGTTATGCAAACAGAAAGTTTATTAAGGAAGTTTAAGGTTAAATTTAAACGACGATTTCGTAGTCAATAACAATGATTGTACAAAGTGGAATGTTGAAGTGAACATAACAACAAAAATTATTTATACATCAAGTCTGTGTTAACCATTTCCACAAATGTATAAGAAGCAGACTGAACACTAACACTAGTAACTCAATATAACAATGTTTCTGCACGGTAGGAGGCATATGGTTAGATATTGCTAGCAAAGTATAACACCCCAATTAAACTACTTTGATATCTTCCTTCCAAAATGTTCGTAATAACAGTAATACATACGTTGACTTCAGTCGAGTTGTATGTAGAACCGTCTAGAATAATGGAATAGCAACCACTATGCACATGAAAACAAAGAATGGGTATCGAAATAAATAGATGACAACTTAGTTCATATGTTGTACAGTTTGTACTACAGTAAATTTAAGAACAGTTTTATAAAATAATAAGTCAAGTCATCCGTAAAGTAAGCAGGCTCAATCAAATACATCAGGGGCGACTAGATAAATCTTGTCTGTACTTCGAATTAATATAGATTTTGAAAAATCTGCATAAAAAATACACGTTTTCCATGGGATCAACTCTGGACCTTATACAGAGTACAAGATTTAGGTCTATACACTGAAGAGGTCTAAGTAATCTTTGACAGAATTACTAAAAATACCTGAATGATTGATATTCCAACATGTATGGTGAGAAAAAACCACTCTATGAATATAGTATGGCCATGAAGTATTATGAGACAATGATTGCGGCTACAATAAGAGGAAAGTAAAAAGTATAAAAGCCGACTGGTAATGTTTTGATTACGTCAATAATATTCAGAAAAACTGTAGATGTACCTAACAATCTTAATATTAAGCCTAACTGTTATTGTTGTAACTGTCTTATTTTGCAGATGGGTTGAGTATCTTAGTTGTGCAGCTGGTGCCAGTAGACCATTAAATACATCATCAACCATTAAATAACAAAATATTCAGACCTTAACTAATAACTTAATGTCGGCTTATTCAGTCTTGAATAACACGACAGATCGAAATGAAGGAAAAACAAATATCAGAATCTCAGTTCTTTTGTGTGTGTGTGTTTGTGTACAGAAAAAAGAAACGATGTTTGTGAAGTTATTTTTTACAAAATTCATAAATCCACATTAAAAACTTTGGTCTTGTTTTATTTGATTTCTAATAGAAAAAAGAAAACAAAAGATGAATAATAATCTTATTTTTTTTAAAAAAAAATGCATATCCTTTGTATGTGTTGTTTTGATCTTGTGACAAGCAGGATGAACATTACATAACTGAGAGATGAATTATAGTATAAAGTAATGGTAAACATAGTTGGTAACAATAACTAATAATAATGTGATTTATATATTACTAAATGGATTGAACAATAAATAAATTGTAAGGTTGTGTTTCCTTTAAATGAAATGAAGTTGTCACATCAATACCAACAACTATAGTGACAAAATAGTAGTAGTAGAGACAAGAAATAAGTCATAAAGGCAAATATTTTGAAAATGTATTGAATAATAATCTGAGATTGATTCAATCCTTTCAATCTTTGGTGTAGTCATCTGCAAAAAATATGAGAACATTTAATGCAAAATTAAATACTATATATACACAAAAGAATGATATGATATATTGTTAAACTGGAGCTGTAAGAAATGAGTGTGCGAGAAATTAACACTTTCAAGATGCTTGCAAAGTGGAAATAGAAATGTAATCATATAGCCCAGGGGACGACGACTGCTTGAACCCGGTCACATAATTTCTGTGAGTCATTATTTTTTAGCATTAGCTTCATACCTTTCCCCCAAATGCCCTGGTACGCCCGAGAGTGGGGAAAGTCCGCTCTCCCTCTCGAAAAGCTCTCACATGGCCACGCGTATATAGCCTCTGCCAGGGAAGTCCTACTCACTGCCTTCTCGTGGCGGGGGTGCTATTTACAAAAATGAGAGGACGAAAAGCGAATGTCCGGCGCTTTAACCGGATCCCAAACTGATGGTGCACATGGGCTCCAGTATCCTGCGGGAACAAACGGCGTATGAACCAATCGTTGGTCACCGGCTACCATGGGACTGCATCTCCTTACGATGCTCCACTGCCTTGTGGGTCAGACCTATAGGTCAAAGGCTCGGGGAGTGGCCCCCTACGAAAACCACCTGCTTCGGTTTGGGCACCCGGGCAGTATCACAGCCCTCGCACATATCGAATAAGATTTGTGTGGCGCATATGTATTTGGTGCCTTCTTGTTTCAATATCTATGTGTTAAAATAAAATAAATAAATAAATCATACCTCCTCACATTCAATAGTCATCATCAAGCAAAGGAGAATATGCTGAACCAATGCCTTATAACTCTTCATTTGTTGAAAGGTAGTATCAACTGGTAGGAAGTGATCTACCACAGTCGAATACTGGTGGAATTGAAAATATGACCTTATTGTTCGGATTTTAAATTTGTCGACCTGACATCAACCAGTTAACATGCCTCGAGTAAAATAAGCGCTAAATACTGCGACCAATAGAGCTGTGTTATCACAATAAGGGCATTTACTGAATCAAGAAAACAGCTTAAGGTAGTTCAGCTACGAATCGTGACTATGTGAAACAGCTACGGTTGACACTTGCGAAATTCAAAATATAAAGATGAACAAACGATGACACTCGGACGGGGAATTGAGCCCTTATGTTGTTAGCCAGGACAAGCAAGTTACTATGACCTTAATTTTGGAACTGTTCACATCTAACCAGTTAGTAATATAATGTGGTTATCTTCATTCGACTTAGTTAATTACATTTTCACATCAGAACCCTTCTAAACTTTTCGCTAAACTGATGAAGTTTTAAGGACTCGCAATCGTATAATCAACCGACACTTAGTGAAAGTATACTTAACAAAGTTAATAGTTAGAGGTTGTAGTATATGTGTATGCACAGACGAAAATTTCATGAACCAATTACAAAATGAATGCAAACGATTTAGACTATTATTCAGTCAAAAACAAAATATTTACAGCCTTCTTTATGAATTGTGCTCAGAAAACCGTTTTAAGATTACGAAAATATACATAACAGTGGGTGAATCAAAGATGAAATTTATGTGAAATCCGCAAACGCAATCACAGTATTCCTCATTTCAGCTGTTAACATACTCAGACGTTATATAAATTTTAACCTGATAGTTAAAATTCATTAAGCTGAAATATTAAGTTATGTGCACTGAATACCTACACTTTATAATAATTGGTCTTTATCAATAACATTTTTACAATCAAATAATAATGACTACAACAACAAAAAAGACCTTGAAAGTTACCTGCAGTAGCAAAAAGTGCTCGACAGTCAAAAAGTGATGCTAACTCAGTAATCAGTTTGTGCAATACACGACAATCAATTAATTCGGATCCTGGAAGTGAAGGGGAACACGACGGATAAAAAGATGGTCCATGAAAACTTCGATGAAGTTGTAGAACAATATTACAGAAACAATATCGTAGTATTATTATTCGAAGGAAATCATCCGAAAGAAACTGTTGATAAGAATAATCTACAAATAGGTTTAAAAATATCGAAAAAAAGAATACATACAATAATGAATAAGAAAAGTTTCAAATTATGTCATTATTAGAATGAAAGACACGATTAGTGTTAGCGATACGTCATAAACAGATATATTAGATAATTATAATCATTAGAATGATATAGAGGTCACGTAAACGTTTGAGTATTGTTCAGTGAAGTACAAATACTGCATTCCACATCGGGTAAATAAGAACTTTACGTTAATTATCAGTGCTGTTAAATGTTAGTGTTCTTTTGACATTCGAAACCTATGGTATTCAGGATACTTGTATGAAGAAAATAGATTTCAATACAAATAGTGATTTTTACCAGTTATGATGAGGATAAATGTTTCTAAATATCATGCGGTATATTTAAGCAGCCTATAAGATTAGTGATATAATCAAAAATCCCAAGCGGTTCCAGTCGAATGAGTATTTTAAAAGATTTACGTGAATTTACCACGGATTAATGCAGTGAAGGAATTTTGATGATCAAAACAGTTGTGGGAATCAATCGCCCCCCCCATTAGAACACTGAAACGAAACTTGAATTTTAAAGGTGATATAGCAACATAATTAAAAAAACCAGGTGACACATATAAGTGGATAAAAGTGCATACCTAAGCTTCGTGAACGCATCAGAACTTGATAGCATTCAGTGAGGAAAGAATCTATAATACTTTGTGCTCGATCCCATGTTTTTAGGGTAATTTTAGTTAAATTACACGTTAGACAAAATGCAGTTAAGGGACAATGTAAGAATAATGTGAACAGATTTCCTCGGTGTCGTTGACTTTCCAATTTTTCCGGGATAACTTTAGGTGAAAGAAGACATACAAATGGTTGTCCAAAGAGATTAGGAATATTCTAGAGAAAAAGTGAACAATAACATTAACACAAAAGTTTATGGTGGGTAATTTATAAATAAGTTTATTTATCCAAGTTTGACTAACATAACAGAGTTCATAAGAACGGCAATTATACGACACCCAACTATATTACACTGTGAAGCACTAAATAGGACTATGTAAGGTAAGCGAATACAATCACAAAGGTCTATTTGAAGCACATCATACATACCCACTGCTTTCGTGACCTACTTACTTACACTTGTTACTCTTCGTGGAGGATCATAGGCCGCCCACCAGCCGTCGTGACAGCATATTGCAATTTTATTAAATAAACTTAGTTGTTAGTTTCGAAACCCTTGTACTTAACTTAGTAAAACTATAGAGATCCGACATAAATCCATATTTGATGACCAGATGGTTAAGTGAGATTGTTTCAAATGTCGTTCTTAAGGTTTATCTGAAGGACAATCACAACTGACTTTGATTTTCTTTAAAATTGGGTAACGTTACAAAATAGTGAATGATCTAACAGCTATGTATGCCATACAATGACTGTCCAGTAAGTGTTCACTAATCACATGGTGATTTCAACAACTTACTGTAACAGTGATGGGAACAAAGTGAATTTAACGATTGAAACAATACTAATATTGTGTTCAATACAGTACAGTAGTGAGTAACAATGGTGAAAGGCTGCTCTCACTGGTACTGACAATCACACCTGATAAGAAAAAATAACCTAATTTATATGGGTTTTAAAGTAACTTGTTTTCAGAAGAAAAAAACTGTCCATCAGTTATAATTAATCAGTTGAAGTGCTAAAAGTAGTACTATTGACCCCATATCTCTCTACCACACATCAATGAAAATGAACATGTAAAAGAAAAAACTTCTTACTCGAAATGTTGCACTATTATCACTGTCAACAATAACAAACAGAGGTCTACGTGTGTAGGGTAGGAGATCACCAGGATGGATGCTGCATATGGGGAAATAAAAACAAATGAATGAAGTTTTTTACCAAACAAAATCCAGTTCATTTTAAACCAAGCGTTGATCATAAACAAATTGTTATCATGTATTCATGGGACTTATTCCACCAGTTTAATAAGAAATAAAGTCACACTTGCAATACATAATTGAACAACTTTATTCAATCCATGATCTTGCACAAACCTTTATTTATTGCATGAAGTGGATAACTGTCTCACACCGCACACAGATCGGACTTCACTAGTTACGGCTTCTCACTAGAACCCTATGAGTTTCATATTGAAGCTAGTCACCAGTAAGCCCATGATTGTTATCAGTATGGGGATTCGTAAAGATTGTAGTATTTTCACAGTTGAAATCACGAGTCGATCTAAGCTAGACCACTAGTGAAAAACTGAAAACACACCACGGCCGTTTCTTCCTAGTTTGAGACTTCTCAGCAGTAGGCTCAGTGATCTCGAGGTTAAGCGATTACGCGGGATTGTGGATGCGCACTGCTGAGGAGTTCCATACTCGAACGAAACAACTGTGGTGTGCTTTTAGTTTCTCATTGGTGATCTAGCTTAGGTCGGCTCGTGATTTCAACTGTGGAAATACTACAATCTCTACGAATCCCCATACTGATAACATAATTGAATAATCCAAAACACAAAAGTGTTTGACATATATGAATAGGTAAATACAGTTAACAAGCAATGTGGGATATTATCATACTATTTACAGTCAAGCTACTTATTGTCTTTCTACACATCACAGCAAGAGAAATTATAATGACAAAACAGTGATGGCGAACTAGGTGAGTAAGAATAAAGGCAGGAAAAATAAGTTAAAATGAATTAAAAGACTGTATACATATAAAAAAAGTAAGAGAGATAAGAAAAAAGCATGGATGTGATCAATTCTCAACAAATTTTACCTAAATCATTCTAATTAACATATTTCACAGTCTTGTGAGAATATACACCTAGATGTTTATACATTTAAACAACGCCAACAGATTGCATGTTCAAATTCCGCAATTCACCTAATTTGTTTAAAACAGTTGAACAGTATCAATAACGTTTATACAAAAAGTGAGTCTCAAAACTGAATATATGTAACCTGAACTTAATAAATGAATCATATTGCATAAAATAAATGTTAGTCAAAAATTGGTTAATATAAAATACTTTTAATTCTTGAATATCAGATCAAATTACAGTCGAATTACAATCCAAATAAACAAACGTTATCGAATTTTATACATATGCTGGTTTAATTGACAGTAAAATGTGGAGTTGTATATTAATTTAAATGATTAAGTATCAAGTAAATGTTTCCTTTTTTTAACTATCCGTTGACTTCACTACCAATTAACTCTGAACGTTATTATGACCACCGAGTAATATGTATTACTATTTACCGCACTGTTTTCATCGTAGTCATGCAGATCAGTATTCAGTAAAATGACTGAACTGTCCAGCATGTAATTAATTAACAAAATCATATGATACTAACATTTTAATGAATTTAAAATGAAATATGCTCTTCAGCGTTAATAAACTGATATCCAGCTACATAGGACTATTGATTGAAAATTTGGTCTATTATCCTACTTTTTCAACAAGTTAAGGTATCACATTCATATTTGAAGTACTATATAGTCTTGCAGCCAAACTTATTATAGGATGATTTGAATAAGAAAAATTACACTACTAAAATATAATTTACAGGCTGAAATGTAAATAATGCAGAGAAATAATCCAAAAAACTTTACCAGTGAGGTTCTTTGAAATCTAGTCTTTTTGGTTTAACGCTGTATTCTTGTTCATGTCGGTTGTTTGTAACAACTCCTCCATAATCGTAACCAGCCGCTCCTACATTCACTGTATGCAAAATATAAAAAGAAATCTAGTTATGAGCGAAATTCTCGAGAAAACACACACATGCACTAAAAAAATGCTTAGTGTGACTAATGTAGTCATCACTCATTATAAAAATACAACATAAGCTGGTCAAGAATAACTAATCGATTGTGTATCCATGCCTTAACTGCTAATATATATGATTAACGTTAATCCCCATAGTAACTGAAATGAATTATGTTCATGTTTTTCACCATAGCAACAGACACTATTTCCAGATTATACTAAAGCCAATACGCAGAGTAAACTACATGACCTTAGTCATTTGGTTGCCACCTTAGTGACTAATGCACAATAAGGGCATAGTAACAAGTCGATTTGAACAAAATACAAAACATCACATCACATCATACCACGATAGACACTTAGACCAATGACTAGTTCAGTTTACAACGAAAAAAAGAAAGAATAAGCTGATAAATAAGATTTTTACTTATCAAGACCATTTTGAGAAAAGATTCTAAAAACATTAATGCACATTTATTTGAGAAATAAAATACAATGGAACAAAATACACTTAATAGAAAGATGCATACAGTTCAACAAAAAGTTTGTTGATAAACATTATTTTACACACATACACACAACATTGACTTGTACCTTAATAGCCACCCACAAAAAAGTAATTTTCACAAAAGTGAATTTTGTATAGATATTCCAATTTAAGTAACTACGAGATAATTCTGACCTCATATACCATACACAATAATCATTCAATATATTACAAGTAATCGAAATTGTTACATTTCAACAGAACAATCAGTAAATGATGAATGTTCATAGCACAGATTGAAAGAAATGTTATTTTTAAATTGTAGTTAACTAGTTAGTAATCAGAATATAAATACTAGGGTCAAGGTCATTCGTGATGAATTTCAGTAGATTACACTGGGAAATTGCACTTCAACTACAAAGTAACTTTGATGCATCTATTCGACAATGAATAATGTACGATAATACATTTAGTACAGCATAGTTACTTAAACCAGAAAGTTTTATCACAGACTAACAGTAACAGCTGACTAGATGTTACTCTGTGATAAAAATCTCAATAAAACTCAGTAAACACTATTTAAATGAAGTTAACTTTATGAATGGTATATCAGCGAGTAAATTAATTTATTCAATTGAATATTGTCAAAATGTTTAAGCACATCAGTAAATTTCGTCATTCAGTACTAATGTATAAATGTCATTGATCACAAATCCTTTCAATGCAACATAAAGAGTGTAATATAAGCTAAAATAGGATCGAAAATTAACATAACTTAAAATGCATCAACTGAATGTAGGATAAATTGTCATTAATAAACCTTGCAAACATAAATTAACTGAATAACGAAATTTAGAAAACCTAATAGATTTTACACAATTTGGAGTGAAATACATTAGTCTATTTTCAAAATGACCCAAACAGTAAAACAAACGATATACTTTAATGGTTAAATGAAATTCTACATTTTAGTAAATATTATGCTCAACAGTTATAATACTAATTTGCATGTATTTTTGAGCAGTAAACAAAAATACATGTAAGTATAAGTAGTAACCCATCTGCCTACTTGACACATTTATTTCATAGGGAGCATCAGTACCTTTAAAATTACAGATACATTTTCTTAAAGAGCGACAGCTTTTATGGACAATTATAAATTAGTAATATACTACTACTAAGTTTCTGATGTTATACGGATACTAAAAAAATGTAAACCTCAAAATCATGCTCATGGTATTATGGTAAAGTTTACTGCATAAAAAAGTAAACAATGAAAAATTTATCAAGAAATCATAAAGTAATTCTTACATTCATTGTTGGTTTTTGCAGTGGGAGCTCGAACACCATCCGCTGATATGTATAATAATAGTGCACCGGAAGCAGGAAGTTCTTTGAATGCCGTAGCAACATATGAGTTAAACTGTGAAAATGTAGGTTTGTATAATAAATACTTATGAGGATTTGTCACTTCGGGCAAATCAAGAGGATAACTTGAAGAAACACCATTTTCCAAACCGTCTACTACATTAAGTCTAGAATTGCGACTGTTCAAAACCTGACCTCTAGGATCACGTTCGAATGTTTGCAGCATACGGTACATATCTAATGATAATTCACTAAATCGGATTTGATCGTAGCAATTCCCAATGATCAGTACTTCGGATAGCTGTAGATGACCCAATTCATGTCTGTCTATTTGTGGAGTATTCAAAGCGTTTAGTCGTTTTGATGTGTAAATTTGTGGTGTATCACAGTCAACAATTTCGCAGATTGAGTTACCGTCCACGAAATCTTTCATTTCTTGTATCACCGTAACCCATCCCAAATGATCATCAGCGTCATAAATATCGATATACTCATCAATTTGCTTAGAGAATTCCTAAATTTGACAGTTAAATTAAATAAGTAACATACTTTTATTAATTCATTTGCCAATTTCATTTTCCCTAGAAGAAGACATACTAGTACAAAACGAGCGTAATAACGCAGTTTCTTAATCATCAGATCAGGTTTTTCTTCTTTATTGGCTTTGGAGTAATAATCCCGAGTTCGAATTGCTGAGAAGAAAGCGAACGATTCATTTAGGTAGTGAAGGTCACTAGTGCGTAAACTAGTAAAAATTAGAAGTTCAGTAAGTTGTAAGAACTTACTAATAATGGTGGTATAACTGGCCAATTTTTGAGGCAACCTCACCGATTTGCCATCGTTTGAGTCCATACAGTTCGTCTAATTTTTGTCTATGTTGTTGTTGAAACTTCCATAACTTGGTGTACACATCGAACGTACGGCCAAAATAAACCTTCCACTGTCTATGACCATGTTGAGGCAAGTCACTATACAAAATTTAGGTTAAAAATATGAAAAGTTTTAAGGATCGTTCATTATATGCAGTTCGATCGTATTTACATTATTCCCTCATATGTAAATATCATGGACCTAGCAAGTACGAACATAGCAAAACAAAAATAAATAAAAGGTCTTATGCTACAACAGTTCAGACTCATTGGGACTTACAGTGGATACATCTATAAGAATGGGTTTCTATTTGAAAAGCATATTCATTGACAGCATGCAAACTTGAATGGTGAGTAATATCTTACGTTTTTCAACTAACTGGGGACTAAAGGGAAAGTGAGAAATATATGTGCGCCAAACAGGATGTCAACCCGTATTAGGAACTGTTACAATCCCATGAAAAGAAGTACGACGCGTGTCATACTCCTGAGGTAAAATGGACACCATGAGTTTACCATGTGAATGAATTACAATAATGTTGGAAAGTAACTAAAATTAATGAGAACATTATATAAAGTAATATGACGAGGACATTTGTTGAGACAAAAATGGAGACTGTTACTACGTCCTGAAAACATGATCTCGCAGGGGGGAATGAAAGCAATTCAAATACGCGTTAGATGCATTAGAGGTTGAGATCAAAAGATTTCCCAAACATGTTACTTTAAACTTGCAACCTTATTAAAAAGAATAGCCTGTATCTACTGTAGGATCTTTACAAGAAAACTGAACTTTTTAATATTTAAGTCGACTTCACTATAGGTCATGACTTGGTGTGAAAATGGAACGTGAGGATTTCATTTAGATAATTAACATTTCATAATATGTAGGTGTCATTACCAAGGTTTGATTTGATAATTTCGAATAAATTGAGCATTGGGTTGATTGTTATAAATAAAAATAATATATTTGTAATATCCCAATGAGTAGAAAATTGGATTTTCTGACGTTTCGTGGCTTAGTGTAAGTCACTTCTTCAGAGAATAAATAACCAAATTAAATTAATCCAAGTTTAAATAGTACAACGGAACAAATATTATTCTTGCTTTGTTCCGTTGTACTATTTAAACTTGGATTAATTTAATTTGGTTATTTATTCTCTGAAGAAGTGACTTACACTAAGCCACGAAACGTCAAAAAATCCAATTTTCTACTCATTGGGATATTACAAATATATTATTTTTATTTATTTCATAATATGGCCAGATAAGACAATTATATTTGAAGAGTATATGGACAAACAAACTAAACATTTTTTAGTAATTGTGGTAAGCTGTGATTGAAAATATCGTATTTAAGAAATAATCTGCTGGGATTATCAAGTGAACAAAGCTGACGTTAAACAACGGTGCTAAATAAATCTATTGATGGGGTAGTAAATCTTTATCAACTGAGGTAGTTGGGATACGTATCTTGTATGCTCACCCACAGCCTAAATCGATGCACGATAATGGCTGACTTAGGGGTATTTATTTCAGTACTTAAGCAGAAAATCTGGTACATGAAAGAATGAGTTATACAAAGTGTAAATAACATTGTGAAACAAAGTGGTTGCATTTGAAGAGAATAAAGAAAGTAATTAACAAGAACAGTGTAATGAGATGGACAGTAAACAATAAGGAAGAAACATCTGAGAATTCTGAGTTAAGGAAGTTCCTCTCATATTTACAGCAAATGTTTCAAGCCATCGAAATGCACCATTTCTAGGACCCCACCACGGAACTTGTGATGGACCAATATATGCTAGTTCTTTACAACTCTTTCATAACACGGCGCCAATACATAAAATGATTACCTCTCCGCCTCCTAAAACTAATCATAACGTCAGCAAATAAAGTATGATGTCAAACTAAGTGAAGATATTCGTAAAACATATCCAAGCCAGTAGTTCAGGATGGTGACACTGATTAGACTTCAGTCACTGTACTCGAATACAAATTACTTGAGTTCAGCATTACTGAGATGGTGTTTTCATCAAATGCCAGCAATCTTTCAGATGCCACGATAATCGGAAATAATGCAGCCTAACACCTTCAACTAGAATAGGTCATGTTTCACAAGCATGAGAAAAAACTATTCTCATTGACGCGTTGTAAACTCGACCTTTCAAAGACGGACTAAAAAACGAAGTAATTAAAAATGGACCTGATTGGATTTAGCCGCTCTGGTTTTTACCATGCACAGATTAATCTCATCAGTTACACCACCAGCAAATATTCAGGAACTCAGACACATGGAATTTTCTACTACTTCTAACGCCTTACTAGGAAGAGTGAATACAGCCAAAGGTTCGCATCATTCTTGTAAAAGTAAAAGCAACATTCATTGTTAACTGGTTAAGTGCAATTTGCATGGCTTGAGTATAATCGTACTATGGAACAATACCACCCGTATACTAACGTTTGAAAAATCTTTCTCTAGACAACAGATCCACACCACCAGTATCTACTTCTACCTGAGCTTTTTCTGAAATGTCATCAGCGGCAAAGTTGGAAAGGAATGGTAAGACTGTGATCCTGCCTAAGCCTACAGCTGGAATGAAACAGTGGAGAGGATGCAGTTTGCCCATAATTTACCTGGGGTGCTTTTATACAAAGCAGATTGGAAAACACTAGGGGAAGCTAAACTAGAGTGACCAGTCCATGACTGTTGGATAGAGCTGCATAAGCGCAAACTACCTAGTTTAAGACCACATCATTATCCTAAACAGTGGGTGTCATGGCTCAGAATCGTTGGCAATCGGTCAAATACCCTTTGCAATTCATTAGGATAGGTGGTTTTTTATAATTACCCTTAGAAACATTTTTTTAGCCCACGAACCCATATTGCACCGAATTTTTTCTACTGCCATTAAGTTACCAATTATACTACTTTGGCAATTCCTTGCACTGAAGTAGTGCGGTAAATTGGACGATTTTGTCAGGTTTTACGTTGTGCATGGTTGAAAACACCCTACTAGCACCTAATGATCATCACATACCTTTAGTTTGAGGAATTATATTTGTCTGTGTTTGTATACAAAAGTTCTCAGTTCAATGACTACTTTTCATCGCTAATCCATTTAGTTAACAGGGAAAAACATATATCACCCTTTGGTAGTCTCAAAGAGATCATTTCAGCAAAACATGGTTTTGATGATCTGTTCCAAATAATGTGTGACCACAGAAAAGAAGCAACAAGTCGGGGGAAATCCAAACAGGTTTAGTCGTGAGTATATCGACAAAACACATGAAGTTTATTCTGGCATGTAGACATCCACGGAATACAATCTACAGATGTACTCTCTGACCTGAAGGTGGGAATTTGGTCTCACCCACAAATGAGATAGTTGTTAAAGTACTCAGCTATCAACTACTGACCTACAACTTCGAACTCTACTCATCTACTTTTATTACTGGAAGAGACAGAATAAATCCATTAACCTACTAAAGATCGATTTTTCGAAAACCTTTGGTCGAGTCTCAGCTTACGGCTAAATGATAAATTGGTAAGACAGGCTTACCATAACGAGAATGAAATATAATTATGTCTCTCCTCTCTACAAATGTAAAGAAACTATTTAAAAACTGATTCGCCCATACGCAGTCGGTTTGAGCACCCGGGCAGTATCACAGCCCTCACACATATCAAATGAGATTTGTGTGGCGCATATGTATTTGGTGCCTGCTTGTGCCGATATGTGTTAAAATAAATAAATAAAACGTCTAAATGGGGATAGTTGAGCAGATAGACCACTTTACTAACAAACGCATTCTTACTACTATATGAGGACATCTCCACAATCCCAGTTTAAGAAGTTAACAATGCTTTTCAAGAAGATTGTTTTTGCAAATACCACCAACCTAATACATATGTTTAATTATTAACGATATATTACAAGAGTACCTACAAGATGAGAAGTTTTCGTATATATTGTTATCGCCTTGTGCTTCATAAATACACTGCAATACTGAATTATAATTTAAATTTATTCATATGACTAGAAAAGGACATGTTATGACCATATGAATCCTTATTTTGGCTTGACTGTGTGCTCATACACAGAACTTGTAGGAACTATGTAGAAATTAACAATGTTGACTTAGTATTAAAGAAGTAAGCATACTAGCGTGGACAAATTACCCTAGGGAACCAAAATAAACCTTGTACCACTAGGTACGTCTAGTATGTAACTGAGTAAGTATGAGACTGAGTTGAGTCACATGGGCCAGGAGAAATTCCGTAATGTAAATATCTTGTGGTAAATTTTACGCGGTAAAGTAGTCCAAAAACTGCAACAACCTGACATTTAAATTCGGAAACCACTAAAAACCTAACTAGATTTAGTGACAAAAAGTTTTGAGATCGTTGGTTAAAGATTTAACAACCTTTAAGGAAAAATAGCGAAACTACAGTATTTACGAAACAACTAAATTGAAGATAGTAGATTTTGGGTTTCGACGCGAAATCCATTCATCCACTTGACTAAATAGCATTTCGGCATTACAGCTGATGTCAGTTCGTGATGTTAACACCAAATCTAACTCCGGTAAGATTATAATTTACGGACGACCTTTGAGGGGCGCCAAACTGACTTCGAAAATGTCCACCTGGTAACCACGGCTAAATATGAAGATTATAAAACTGTGAGGAATTAAAACTGTGATTTAGTAACTAGAGTTAGGGGTTTCATCACAAACTGACGTCAGCTAAGATGCCAAAACGTTATTTAGCCGAATGGACAAGATCATTTCGCACAAAAATTTAGGACCTGTTATCTTATATTTGACTGATTGGCCCATAATTTGTAGCTTCACCCTAACTCCCAAACTGTAATTAATTTACAAACCTGGTAAGTAGGTAGGGAATTTAGAAGTTATTATAAAGTTGTTTAAAGACCGTCCACAGATAATGGTCTTGCCAACATGCCTCAAGTATGTTACAGCAATTTAAAAACTATAGACAAGACGATTAACGTCTTTCTATAAACTTCGATTTTTTAAAACCGATCGACGACGAGGTTCTCCATAAACTATTTGATAAAACTGACTACCGAACAATATCTATACAATTCAAAAAGCATATTTACAAAGTATGTGAAATGTAAGTTGATTAGGTTCTCAGTAGCGTTTCCTAGTCTTTTAGCATCACTTGGACTGCTTTACTTTGGATTTGCGATATCGCCTGTGGACTTTAACCATGCATACTCTAGTGGGACAGCTATAACTCTATCCTTGTTTTGAAATATGTAAAAATCAAACAAACATGTCACACTAAACAAATGTGACTATAATAATTGAAGCTAATAGTATTCCAAAAAATTGATAACCGTACCGCAATCCGTTAAATAATTGTTTTGACTTCTCTAATAAATGGCAAAATTCCGAAACAATGATTTGATCCCCTTGCTCTACATTTTTGTCTGAAGCCATAGATGTAACTCCGACGGGATCAAGCAACGCGCGCGCGCAAACCATTTGATTTGTAATAAGGCCACTTGATTGTTGAGTATATAAACAAATTTACTGCGGATGTGTGACTGACTTTTAAAAGTGTGCTCACAATTCACACAAATTATGAAATCATTCTGTCCTACGAAAACGTAAATTGTTGATGTTTCATTCACTTCTAGTTCTAACAGAAGTTATCTAAGTTGTAGTAACACTAATAAAATCAAATTCATTGAATCCGTTTCTGATCCGTTCATTTGAGTTTAACTTCGACTGACCGGGTAAAATACACTGTAGGAACATTTAAATATTTCAGGTTGCAATATGTACGACAATGTATGCACATCCCTTCACTAAAATGGGGACACTTTCTAATCAATCCATTATGATTTTAAGTTACCACGCAAATATCAAACTTTGTGGCAAAAAAAGTGAAGGGCACTTGTTAAAAATCGGCAGATATGTCCTGACCATTAGTCAGATAGCTCTTACCATCTTCATTGCTTGTATTAAAGCGGAAAGAGTCTAAACGAAATAAATATCTTTAAGGATTTTAGACATTGGTGCTAACCTTTCTAGTTTTAAAGGACTCCACTTGCTGAAGAGCCTAATTCGAAATCAGTAAAGCTTATCGAGACGGCTTAAGTAAGGTTTTTTATCCTTTCATCTAGTCCAACAAACATTGACAACTGTCTACGATTAAATACATGGCCTCCAAAGATCATCAACATCCACCTTCTCTGTCTTCAGGATATTGAGCTGTATTCTGATACCAATATTTTATGATTCTTTGATATTCAGAACGCCTTTAGAATTATCATTGTCATGAGTGCAGTATTTGTTGACAGTCTACCTCAAGAAGCCGAACATCGAACAGTCTGGAAGCGATATCACAGTAAGCCTTTCAAGTCTGAACAATATTCGCATTACTGCACAATTTATGAACATTTTCTGTACTGACTTCAGAGTTACTGAAGATCCCAGGCCCAGATAGAGGAAAAGGATCGGGTGTGGGGCCAACAATCAGATCATGTGTAAAATAACCTTGCTAAAAACGCCAACCAGAAAAAATAATTTAGGCTTTTCGAACTCTTAGTTGCAGGTTCTTCATTTAGAAGTTATGACGTCTCGTAGTGAAATCCAAAATTTTTTCGGAAGTCGCGAGGCCGATGCCACTTCTAACAACCGGATCAACAATTTTCATTGGTACAGAGGACGTCCGAAGAATGTAGTTGACCGGGAGGACCAATCAAATAGCAGCGGAATTTATGCGATACAACTTGGCAGTTCTCGGAGTCAGAGAAACCCATTGGACCCAAGCTGGGCAGCAAAAGACGCTGCTGCACACGGGTCACGAAGAGAACACTCCATACATTCAGGGAGTTGCTCGGATGCTTTCCAAAGAAGCACGCAAAGAACTTATGGAACGGAAATCTTATGAATCCAGGAACGTCAAAAGATCGTTCAAAATAAAAAAGAAGAGGGGATTAAAATTAATGTTATCCGGTGTTATGTACCGATAAAGATCAGTTCAACTCGCGTCTGCAATCGATTATAGCGAAAAGCCCAGGGAAGGACCTGACCATCCTGATGGGAAAATTACAGAGGCATTAGACTCTAACCACACGAGCTTTGGAGCTGAGCATATAATAACTGGAAAGATTTGTGTCCATTAACTGGAACGAAGAGAAGGTTAACTATAGGGACGGCATTGCTCAAACTTGCAGATGTGGTCATTTTGTATAACTTCTCTTTAATCATATTGAATGTTATTCTATCTTCAGCCAAAGTATGTCCTTTAGAAACTCCATATAGTATATTACTGGTTGTTACGATGCGACGAGTCACAATAGAAAATAGTGTGGCTTCCACGTAAGATCTCATAGATTAAGTAGTTACATCATGACATGTTTATAATTTTAGGATTTGGTCTATTATTAGAACAGTGCTAATACCCGGGTAGACTACAATCCTAAAAACGAAACCAGATCGATGTCATCGGCATCAATAAAATGTTCGGAAGGTCCATGGAAGACGCAAGAAATACGAGAGTAGCATAGATAGCTTTGTATCACCACTTATTGGCGACGAAGATGCAGTATGAAACTTATGTCCCATTTACCCACTTAAAATGACCTACATTCGGTGCATTCTGGTAATAACAGTTAATCAATCCATCTACTGTTGTTTATATCCGCACATTTTGCTTCCCTTCTGATTCATTTGCCATATTATCATAAGGAAGTTTATAGCATCAGAACTGCTGTCGTTTCTGGAATATCTCTGGGGTTTGAAATCACTGATTCGTTTCCGTTTTACTTAGGATTTTGAATTCTGGAGACTAACATATTTGAAGACCATTAGTTTAATTGATTACTTTTGATATAACTAACTTCCGTAGTGTAAATATTTGATCCCCTAATAGTTAGTAAAGTTAAGACTTTTGAACATCTCACAGCTCAGCGCAGAGCTATTTAATTCTTGATATTTCTTCCTTTCTGTGGCAAACTGAAAGTTGAAGGAACACAGTTATTTTTCACAGACAAAACTACAAAGATCGGTTGGATTCAGTATTACTTCACACAGCGATTCATATTTAACCTAAAACCATCTTGAGTAGGCCGGGTGGATTTCAAGCTGATAATTAAATTTATACTAGTACATCGATCAATCCACCCTTCAGATCCATCAGTGAATTCCACGAAAGTGTGTCATTAAAGTTAAGAGAACCTCACAAGATTAGTTCACGATTGATGCCCAACTTGCCTTATCCCGTTAGGATAATCAAGTAAATCAGCTTCCTTCGTGACTAGTAATAATAAACAGAATTCTGCTAAAACTAATAGCACGTGTTAGTAAGAACAGATAATAATGGTATGAACTAAAGACACCGCCGCATGACATGGTTGGGATAAGTGAAACATCCGTGAATTTGTAACGCTTTCACTGCTCAACACTCAGTGTGTGTACAATATCTAGTGACTCTGAAATGTTTTTCCAGAAATTCCAGCCTTTCTTTGAGGCCTAGATATGGTTACAAATCAGCGAGAAACGGTATCAAGGAGTTATAAGCTATTATTAGGAATTAAAACCGTGGTTTCCATCACAAAGTGACATCAGCTATAATGACGAACTGTAATTACTAAGCGCTAGCCGAATCGACCACCAGGCAGGTCAATGAGTGTTGAACCAAACATCAGGCCTCATCAAGGTTAAGGACAACCAATACAGATTAAGCAGTTGCGTGCCATGGACTAACCCACCCAGCAATGTGTTGCTCCGACTTATTTTTACTACAATATTTCCTCGATAACATCAGATTTATTCTATTTGGTCATCAAAGCAGTGACAGTACCTGAATATCGAAAAAGAGTAATCTTCATCAGGCACTAGAAGTCAGATGTGACTTTGATATAAATCATGGAGTTGTAGAATTATGGTCTACTTCGATATCAGTACTACTCTAATAATAGACTTAATCCTAAAATTGTCGATTTGTCATGACGTAACTGCTTAATCATTAAGATCTTACGTGTAAGTAACATCATTGTCTACACCAGCTCACCGCATCATAACAATCACCATTATGTGAGGGAGAACAAACTTAGGCTAGAGATAGAACAATATACTTAATGTGAATAAAAGATATAAGACAACACTTAAAAGTGACCACTCCTGCAAGGCCGAGCCATGCCGACCGATCAACTCGAATTAACCCAATTCATTCTTCCCTTCATCTCCAACGTTGTTTTTCTCCGCGTTAAATGTTGAATATCGATTTTCCCAGTTACCTCGTGTTCAGCTTTGAGGATTTCACGGTTAGAGCCAAATGCCAATACAAGGTCACAGCATTCCTATTCCAACTCGGGCAGACTGTGACCATCTAAAAAAGCACCTTTAACGGTAATCTACAAGACATTTCAGGGAATCGTTTTAATGTGCTTTACAAATCACCCTTCAAATTTGATCCGTTAACAAGATCTAAGTGTCACATGCTCGGCTGCGCTAAATCAAATGTCTAAAGCCAATTTATGGTATGATAACTTAGTCAACAGTAGACTTGAAACTTTTCTCTACATCCATTCCTAGGTAATTTTGCAATACTCAAGATGTTTAAAAAGGGTTACCTATATATTTTTTAGATAATTATATGGTGCATGAATATTAGACCAAGTTCTTCAACAATACAGACATCCATAATAGTTTTGGGTGCTAACAAAAGTAACGAAAATCCATCTATAAGTGTACGGATCTGGATGGACTCCAAGATGAGTTACGAAAATGTGTTATATACTTCCACTATATTTTGGCCATATGAACGGATAAAAAATGCAGGAGTTTTGGACATAGATCAGATTGCTTTGCCTACAATATATAGTACCGTTTATGTTATATATAAGACCATATTTTCCACCGGTGATTCAATTTTAAGACTAAACAATCAACTAGCTTATATATTTTACACGAGAATCTGGAGTAAACCACAGCAGGATATACATAAGAGATGAAAAACGAATGAATTAAAAATTAAAAATTACACCCTAAAAAGCAGAAATAACAAAACAAATGGATGAAAAATGATTGAGAACACTAGATATTGGACTTTTCTTGAACAAGTAAGTTCACGCAAACTGGTTTTATCGTACACTTGAAATAATTCGGTCTAGTAAATGGTGGTGATGGGTTCAAAAAGCATACAATTTCAATTCACACAAAAGCTGACAGCTTATAGAGATACACAAAGTAGGTCTATGAATGAGACATAAAATTAGTTTCGGTGTGTAGAACTTTACATGTCTGTCAATACATAAAATATTCTGCCTGCCAGAGCCTCCAGCGTGTTTATTCGCATTATTTCATGAGGACTACTGTTGTTCCGAATCGACGGATGCTGTGATGCATCAAAGAAAACCAAGTGCTGTGACGAAACAGCAAAGTTGGTGATAGAGTTCAGTCGAGGTGCTAATACATTCGCAGGAACCCATCAAATTTTTAACTCCAGCCAATATTAGTAAGCTTATGCTTCA